TAAGACAGACATCCTTAAGCTGTCGGCATTGATGCTGTTCAGCTAGCGCAAGTGTAGTCGCCACTGTCTCAGTAGTGATTTCTTCACATAACTTTGATTCACACAACAATTTCAGTCGATCTAGATTATACAGGTCTGCAGCTGCCAACAGATGCTGCACCATGACAGTGAATGTGCACAAAGGTGGTGAGCCCATAACTTCGTGTGTATCAGGAAGTTTGTCCGTGTAAATAAAGAGAAGCATTGCCTGGAAAAAAGGGCCAAGATCTCTATTAAATTCATTAAACGTGTTCAAAATAAGAGCATACATAAATAAAACCATATGGATATAACTTATAAGGAAAGGTCGGTATCACTGTGAATATTGGCCACAAGGCAAAGAGCGAACTTCTAGTCTAAATCTCAACTAATGAAACAAAGACAAATGGACCAGCGTAATATTCACAGTTACATGTTACTGAAACAAGCTCAAACTGGTTCAACTTTTCACTTATTAGAGGCCAGTTCTAAGCAATCAACTCCCACATGTACCCTTAATTACATGTTGAATCTGAATCCAGACATGCCATCAGCTAATTTTGATTTATCACATTTGATTATATCTGTAAACAATCGAACAACAACAGTATAAAAACTCAAACCTTAAGATGACTCTCTCTAATTCATATTAGGGGATTCCTGCAATAATTATACCACCAACCAAGCAGACCCCAACAAGCACTGTAGTTTGCTAATGTGAACATAAGAAGAAACAAATATCACTTTCCCAGATAATCTTTAACCTGTAGATAAGTTTTTATATTTAAGTGAATTTAACAACTCAATGCATTATATGATAACTTGTAATTATTATCATCATTACTTTGTCTTGAAAGCTCCTAATCTAACAAAATAATACTAGCATTTGACTTTGATCAACCTAAGATTTCTTATTTGTTCAGTTGATAACTGAACTCAAAAAGAACCTTTTGACTACTAATAAAAGTGTAAAAGGTGAATGTCAATTATGGAGAGACACAGAAGTGCACAAATGTTAACGCACTCTATTATTCATATGGTAACAAGTGGAAGCAACAAGATCATGAAGCATTACCTTGAAGATGAAGGGCTCAACATCCTTCACAACTACTTTATCCACATTACAATCCCCAACAAGTCCATAAAACTGCGCTCTAAATACACAAGACCGAGCAGCAAGTATCAACTTGTGAGCTTTAAACTGTTCATCGCCAACCTGAAAAACTATGTCACAACCAGCTTCAGAATCTAGAAAGTCCCTTAGGTCTCGTCCCATGTCTGATGATGGAACAGTGATTGTAAATTGTTTTGGTTGCTCAAGGCGAGTTCTGACAACTCCAACAGTGCAGTTCAATACAAGGCAATCATCCTTAAGGAACTCAGAAGTTTCTAGGATTGATCTTCTGAAGAATTTCTTGTAACCCCTGAAATTACAAAAGTAAATCTCATTACGGAAACATGCAGAAAGTTCCCACCTGAACATAAATTCCCAATATTCGGAAATCAGTAAGCTTAACCAAAATTGAAAAATAGGTTACATAAACTGAAAGAAATCTATAAACAGTCTGATCAACAATAAACGATGAACTTCTCAAATTAGAACTTTGCAAAAACAGTTGACAGGTAGACTTCTGTTTAACAATAGTATAGATTGTAGATATTGATAATGAAACGTTAGGATTTTCCAAAATATAATCTTTAATATGATTAATATTCACCGGACAAAATAATTTCTTTATATATAACATTTCTAAAGTAGATGTATCTCGGGTCTGAACTAAGCATATCATAAATAACTCATTCAGACCTTTAATATTATTATCACCATCACTTCTGGGTCTGTTTTACATTTGCTATGGAGAAAAAAAAATCCTAACCAAAATCATCTTTTCTTTCTTTAGTTGTGTTGATTTTCCAAGTGATTTATTAAATAAAAGTACAATTCAAACTAGGTTTTCCTAACAACAATGTGAAAAAGAAAACAGAAGAGGAATGGTTCATTTCAAGATTTGGATGAACATACACATTAGTACATCAGACTAAACAATGATATATCTTAAAAATTAGTATCCATTTGAAGTTTGGTACGGTTTTATGCATTTTTTTCTCTCTCGTTTTTTTTTTTGGAAAGCAAAGCCTAAGGCCTGGAGATAGGTAGACCGATGTCACAGAGAGCTCAACCACTTAAGCTATAAGCCCCAAATATAACAACTAGAATGCCAATCTAGCATAATCACATACATACCCACTGAAAGAACACCCATACCAATCACATTCAAATCCCAATTACCCAATTGATTACCAAGCTGCTAAATCACCATTATTTCACATAAAACATATTAAAACCTATCCGTAACCCACAATTCACCGGGAATGTACTCGCTTTTATCATAAAAATTGAAACTTTAAGGCACGAAAATCCGCCAATTAACCCATTTAAACACATACCACATGCTGCCTCTGTACTTCAGCGTGTACGGCCCGCCCTCGAGAGCGCGATCAAAGTGACTGTGCACCTTGTCCTTCCCACTGTCCGTCTGATCCACCAACGTCAGCTCGAACAGAGCCCTCACATCCGTACCCTCACTAACCAAAGCAATGAAAACCGAGACGTACGCGTTGCTATCCTCGGGGTTTTTACCGTCGGGGTAAAAGTAAATTGCCCAATCGTATCCGCCCACCGTGAACGTATCGCTCGTCAGGTACTTCCCAGCTCCCATACCTTTGGCCAGCGAATACCCCTTTATCGTGAACCGGTGGGAGCCATTCACAGTCTCGCTGATCGATCTCGAGCACGATTCATGGTCAGACCCAGGCTTCGAATTCCCCATGGATTCACCCGATTTCGCCCCTCTGAAATGTTTCCGAATCGGCGGCATCGGACGGTCGGGTCCGGGCTGAAACCCTAGAAAGCCAAGAGGTCAAGGCGCGGCCTTGGCATGGCATGTAAATTGCGCAAATTGGGAAAATAAAAACCTAATTTTGGGTTTTGGGTGGCGAATTGGGGAGGAGAAACGATGCGTCGCCGGAGAAGAGATGAAGATTCGAGAAGACGGAAGAGGTTTTTTGGGGTTAAGCGGGTCGTTTTTGCTTCCTGACGGGCCAGATGGGTTGGGGCTCGATTCGAATTTATAGTTCTTTTCGGTTCGGGTGACGTGTCCGGATGGACTTGAGAAAATTTGGTCTAAAAGGATTATTTTATTAAGTTTTAGGACTTGGAAGTAAATTAACTATTAATTTGGTTAATTAGCAAACTTAGGCCCAAGTCCATTCATTAAAACATATCAATTATTATGATTTGGAATTTGAAATGTTAACGTGACTCTTTCAAAGTAGGATTTTCTATGAAGAGATTTTTCAGTGGGTCAGAAACTCGATTCGATATACCAAGTGATTGAATATTTGAAAAATAAATTTTCAATTACTGGCATTATAACACTTGGTGTACTGACTGTGTTCTCCCACACTGAAAAATTTATATTTTTCTATGGACTCTCTGTCTTTCTATAATTTAAAGTCATTTTTCGTGCCAACATGATAAAAAATTATGTTAAAAACATTAAATGGCAGAACATCTATAAAGAATCTCATTTTTGAGATAATATCGTTATCATTTCTATATGACCTAATTTAGAGCATATTTACTAGAAATGGATATGCAATCAAATTACAAACCTATTTTGCGTTTATTAACACAATGAAAAATAAGAGCATCGCACATCAAACTTGGGTATGTCATACATGAACACCATCAACACCATGGGCGAATGGGCTGGTTTTACTTACTATCGCATACATTGATGACTATTACGACTCCCATTAAAACAATATAAATTGATTACAGTTGACGGCTTTCATTTTGCTAGAAAAAATGTTTGGTTTAGAATATGTGGTACCGTAAATTTTGGCCCATGACACATGGTACTTTGGGTCGTCAAAATAATCGAGAAACCCTCAACATTATCTCTGTCAAAGATAGTTAGGCACAGATCCATTAGTTTTTAACTTTTAAGTTCGTTATAGAATATAAATATTTCTTGGCTCCTAAACAAGGAAATCTTAATTCATGTCAAATTAGGATTTCTTGAGAATTAAGCAATGTAATCATAATTTTAGAAAGATTTGATATCTTATTCTGGATTACTTCCTAGATACTTTTCCGATTAAATAAAGATTACTTTCCTTACAATGATTCAAGGTTTCTATAAACACACTAATTTAGGAATAATAAAACACACAATTCTCTACATGAACTCATCTCTTACACGCCTAACCTAAGGCTCTTTTGTCAGGTATGGTTCACGATGTCACACCACTCATTCTCTAAAACTATAGTTGTGTAATTGGTTCCAACAGATCCCATGAACATGAACATTACCGTGTTTATAATTTATAATGAGTATATGCATACACTTATTATTGAGTCATAGAATAAACTGTCAATATAAACAATATATCATTATAACGAACAAAACGTATTGACATGTTATCGACAATAAAGAATGAACGCCATTCACATGTAAACAACATCATTTTTTCAATAACTATTCTCTAAAAAAAATTTACATTTGAAATAATTTAACGTATGAAAATTTAGATGATTATTTATTTGTTCAAAACGCTAAATCCGTTTATATGTCTGACACTGCAAAGTGATCAGTTTTTACAGTTTATTTGGATATTTTACGCGCAACATTCACCCCTGCCAACTGCGGATTAATTCACCTCTGCCAGTTGCACACGTGTCACCATCTCTCACTCCCTCCACAAAATAATTTCACACCTCCGTCGGTGACCGTCTGTCTTCTTCTTCGGCCACACCACAACCACACTCAACCTTCAGATCCTCACTGCTCTCACTCTTTGGCCACCCCGGTTCCGATTCAACCCACCAAAACACAGCGTTGCGTTGCGTTTCGTTTCGTTTCGATGCGTTCGTCGTTTTCGGATTCCACCCAATTGAATTGAATTAATTGCCTGAAAAGTCAAAAGCATGGCGATTTTGGGCAATGGCGATTGGCTGCGAATCCCATTGATCCTGAAAGTTTGGGGATTTGTGATGATAGCAGTCACCTGCTTTTACCTTGGGAAGCACTGGTCCGATGGGTCCCAGCAGCTCCTCTTCTTCACCACCACGCGCCGAGCACCCTCCGCCGTCTCCGTCTCGCCCAATCTAGACAAGCCTTTCAATCTCTCCGCACTCATAAACGAAACCCTAGCTCCACCTCCACTGCTTCCGCCTCCGCCTCCTCCGTCTCCGCCGCCTCGGCCTCCTCCGTCTCCGCCTCCTCCACCTCCTCCTTCTTTGCCGCCTCCGCCGCCGCCCGATGTGGTCCGGAGGTTCGGGATCGTCGACGAGAATGGCACCATGTCCAACGAGTTCGAGGTGGGGGATTTTGATCCCGATGAGGTGGTGGAGAATTGGGGCAGCGAGAACGGGACTGTGCCCGAGAGCGAACCGAGTAGGTCGGGTCGGGTTAGTGTGAAGAGGTTCGAGCTCTGCCCGAAGAGTATGAGCGAGTACATACCGTGTTTGGATAATGTGGAGGCGATTAAGAGGCTGAAATCGACGGCAAAAGGCGAGCGGTTCGAGCGGCATTGCCCGGAGGCTGGTCGGGGTTTGAATTGCTTGGTTCCTCCGCCCAAGAGTTACAAGACCCCAATTCCATGGCCTAAAAGCCGGGACGAGGTATTTTCTGAGACTTTAAAGTTTTTAGCTTTCTGTATGTAAGTATTTGTTTTTAAGATTAAAGCATTAATCTTTTCAAACTTCCGAAATTGTCACTTCATTGCAGGTTTGGTACTTCAACGTACCTCATACAAAATTAGTGGAAGATAAAGGGGGTCAGAACTGGATTACCAGACATAAGAACAAGTTTAAGTTTCCGGGAGGCGGTACACAGTTTATACATGGAGCAAATGGTTACTTGACTGATATCTCTAAGGTTAATACTGTTTAAATTCGACGGAATTGGGAAATGTGTAATTTGAGCATTGGATTATTGTTCTTCTGATCATCTGATGGTCAAAGTATTAATCGTGCAGGCGGTCCCTGAAATCACCTTTGGACGGCATATACGAGTTGTTTTGGATGTTGGATGTGGCGTTGCGAGTTTTGGTGCGTATCTGCTGTCGCGAGATGTCCTTACCATGTCAGTTGCACCTAAAGATGTCCATGAGAACCAGATTCAATTTGCTCTTGAACGTGGTGTGCCTGCCATGGTAGCAGCATTTGCAACTCACCGTTTGTTGTACCCGAGTCAGGCATTTGACTTGATACATTGCTCACGTTGTAGGATTAACTGGACTCGTGATGGTATGCAAAACTTATATTAAACTTTTTAATTTCCTCTGAACTGCCTTAGTTACATGATGGTCACGCGGTGGATGTCTTCTGATTGTGTTTTCTTTACCTCTTTCGCTTCTTTGTTATGAAGATGGCATATTGCTGCTTGAGGTTAATAGGATGCTCAGGGCAGGAGGATACTTTGCTTGGGCAGCACAGCCAGTTTATAAGCACAAAGACGTTCTAGAGGAGCAGTGGCAAGGTATTACCACGAAAAATTTCTTTGGTGAAAATTTTTAATAGTGTATTGATTGCTAGTTAGTGTTTGAAAGTTCTGCAGTTTTTGTTTCCTGGCCCAGATGAATCGAGAGCAAAATAACATTTTGTGCCTCCAGTTAATCACTTCATCCCACAAACTATAATTTCTGTTTGACTGTGAATCACAAATATTCAATTTCAATTGTTTCTTGAAGACCTATACTAACCAACAAGCCAGCAAAACAACTTTGTTTGTTGCACACGAAACTTTCTAATCTAGCTTTCCTTTAGGCATCATGTATGACTCTGTTTTTAGTTTTGAGAATGTGAAGGATCGAGAAGAGAAGAGAAGCGGTTGCAAGGGTTTAGTAATCATATCTGGACCTGGGAAACAACTAAACATTGTGTACTAACTTCTTGTTTGATGACATCACTGCTTTGCTAATCATGTCTGGGCCTGGGAAACAATAAAATCTGTTTTTCATTTTTCCTTTTCCAGAGATGCTTAACCTCACCAAGCGGCTTTGCTGGGAATTGGTGTCGAAGCAAGGCTACGTTGCAATATGGAAAAAGCCGGTTAACAACAGCTGTTATCTGAATCGGGATGAAGGAACCAAACCTCCATTATGTGATCCAAGTGATGACCCAGACAAAGTTTGGTACATCCGCGATTCCTCTCTTAATAATGAGTTGATAATTTTTTAAAGGAAGATAGGTTATTCATCAAATTCAGATATCAATTAAAAGCATACCAACTGTTTTCCGTCCTACCACTTTCCTTTGCATTAAAGCCATACATATTTTTTATTGGAGATAATTTGGAATAAACCTGCAAGGAACTCTTTGAAAATGTTGGGCTCCCTTTTATCTTTTGTTTTTGGTTCTGAATTGACCTTTTTTTTGAGGTCTAGTTTGAGTTTAAAAGTTTATTTCTGCAGATCCAAAAGAGCTTCCATGTGCATGTAGAGCACTTGCCTCTTGTTCTCTGAAGGTTAATGGTATTCTTTGTATGATGATTCAGGTATGTTGATCTGAAGTCATGCATTACAAGACTCCCTGAAAATGGTTATGGAGCAAATGTCACAGCATGGCCTGCGCGTTTGCAAACTCCCCCTGATCGGCTTCAGAGCATACAACTTGATGCCTATATATCCAGAAAGGAGCTCTTCAAAGCAGAATCCAGATATAACGATGAGTTAATTGGAGGTTATGTTCGTGGTTTAAAATGGAAGAAGTTTAAATTAAGAAACGTAATGGACATGAGAGCTGGCTTTGGAGGGTATTGTATTTATCTTGTGCTCTACTGGTCTTCCATTTCTATTTTTTTTGCTAAAATTTTCTCATTACTTCTGGTCTCTTAATTGGTTGGCAGATTTGCAGCGGCACTAATTGAACATGATTTGAATTGCTGGGTTATGAATGTGGTTCCTGTTAGTGGCCCCAACACCTTACCTGTTATATATGACCGTGGACTCATTGGAGTAATGCATGACTGGTACATTACCTACTGGTTTTCTTTGTATAGCATGATTGCTGCTTATAATAAGTTAAGTTGATTAAAAGTTACTCATTTGCATTAAATGTATCAGGTGTGAACCATTTGATACATACCCACGAACCTACGATTTATTGCATGCAGGCGGTCTTTTTTCTATTGAGAGAAAAAGGTGCTCTCTCTCTCTCTCTCTCCAATCTAAACATTTTCATTATTTTTTTAGTTTTATTTATTTCGCATCACTATCTTGTCATTGTGTGCTTTAGATGATACCGCACAAGAATTTTTGCTTATGAGGGGAGTAGCAACTTACTGAGAACTAATACCAAAATATTAGTAGTTATGATTAATTTGAAACAGAGCTACTTTAGAACAGCGTTGGAACTTCTGATAAGTTGTTAATTTAAGGGTTGGGAAAATGGAAAGGCTTTTTCTTGTTGAGTAGTAGTTAATCATGACTGGAAAAGGAAAGCAATGCAGAATTATATTTGGTTTGTGGGGATCATCCTGCATGCCTTCTCTCTTTTGTTCGTTGGCTGAGGTTGAGGTTTATAACCATGTCGATGCTTGACTGTTTGATTTGAAGTTTTCATTCCATAATTTGACGTTTGGATTATCTGGATTTGTTCCTGGGGTGGGAGTGAGATGCATTGGGAGTGAAGTGGCGGTTTTACACATTTGTTTTTGTTTTCTTTCTGTAAAGCCTGATTTGATTCATAACATTATAACAGATGCGATATCTCTACAATCATGCTTGAGATGGACCGGATGCTAAGACCTGGTGGTCGTGTATACATCCGCGACTCTCTTTCTATCATGGATGAACTTCAGGCGATCGGAAATGCCATGGGTTGGCGCGTCAGTATAAGAGACACATCTGAGGGGCCTCATGCAAGTTATAGACTCTTTATTGCCGAAAAACGCCTCTTGCATGGTTGAAGCATTGGGACATGATGACCAGATTGTATCTTACTAATCTTCTAAAAGGGAAAATGAGCAAACCAGATTGTCAAACACCATCGCTTGACGGTGCCATGGACCGGTACTCAGAGAGATTGATAGAATTCTTCATGATTTATTTATTCAAGAATTTTTTAGGCGTACGATGTACATATTGGTCATATCGATATCCATTTTTTGATTTCTCAAAAAATTTGAGGCTGCGTTCTTATTGAAGGCTATCAGTTTATTTGGTATAAATTTCTCATGATTTGCAAAATTCATTTCTAATTGACGCCTTTACAGAGATCAAAGAAACTCAATTCAACGGAGATGGAGCTCATTGCTTTGATAAAAGAGTGAAAGGAAGTAGACGAAGCCCGTCAAAAGTGATTTTCACACACATCTTCTCTCTATACACACTTTTATTTATATCACATGAAAATTGATACACACACACACACATATATATATATATATATATATGGAAGTGCAAAAAGAAAAAAATAGGTGCGCAAAAGTCATTTCTTGAGTCCAAATTTTATTTTTGAAAATGGTTGCTAAAGAAATTGACATCTTTTCAGTCATACTCTAAACCAAACCCTCAATATTCCCTTATGCACATTCATTTTTGCAGGAGAGAATGACTGATAAACCCTAAATCTAAACCCTAAACCCAAAACCTAAACCTAAATCTGACTGAATCTTTGGTCCAACATAATCTTTTGATCAATAAAATAAAATAGAAAAATATTATTAGCACTTCAAAAATCTCGTTCTATACTCAAACTAAGTGTGAAGATCCGAACGGAGTGCAATATGAGATGAGATGATATTTTTGAACTTTGATTGGCAAGATGAGATTTTTGGTGGTGAACCCAAACCAAACCAACTAAACCAAGCCATTTACATAGGACGTGAACAACTTACATAGCATTGGTACACCGCTATGTAAAACCACTATCTTTATTTCATTAGTACAGAATGTCATTGTCGCGGTGTACCTGTGTCATATAAGTCATTCTCACATAGGAAAGGGGGCAACTTGACTCGCAAAGCCCGATTGTTCTCCTTCACCATACCATGTAAAGGCTCTTGAGCCCCTCGATGTAATATTTGAACCTTACACACACACACACACACACACACATATATATATACAAATTACAGTGAATTTAGCTATGTTTATGGGTAACCCACTATATTTTCTCGTGTTTATACTATGATTCATCTCACCCCTTGCACCTGTATTTGACCGTCAATGTCCTTTGTTAACCTTACTAGTTTCAGCATTAACAATATAGATTCCAAATTATATTAAAAAAAAATTTGAGATAACTTCGATTTCATTTGTAAATTAAAAATTATGATTCGATCCAAAACCTTTGAAATGAAAATCAGAAACCTTGTTTCTAATCCGATCCTTGCAAAATCATTCATACATAGATTAGAACGAGGAAAATTTTATCCGAACCCTGCTTCCATCTCTCTACACCCAACTTAACATTTAATGTAAATGATCTTTTCTACTGTATTAGAAAATTACCAGAACATATGCTTAGTCTACTAATTCTGTAATCAAACCTAAATCTTTTTCTCAAATTTTAAATCATCTAAGATAAACCAAAGAATGTGCTTAATTATACGTTGGAAGATGGTAATGCGTTTTCTCGGGTTGTAAAGAAAACAATCGAACTCTTAATCTAACCTAATCCGAACGGCGAACACAACGAAAAGGGTTCCTTTACTCTCAGCAACTAGGAAAAAAAAAAAAAAAAAAGATCTGCAGGTGCTCGAAGTTTCAAACATAGCATGTGATGTGAAGACATTTGAGTCACGACCGAACCCCACCGCACTGCACCGCTGTCTACAAATTTACATCCCCCATGCATAATGATCCAGATTGAATTATATTATACAAAAAAATAATAAATAAATAAAGAATAATATTTTTGTATAAAAGGTTTAATCGTAACCATAATTCTTAAACTTTACTTCTAATTTAATTTTAGTCTTTGAACTATTATATTAGTTCTTTAATTCTCGAATTTGTCCCTAATGCCGTCTTTTTTTTTTCCATTAAATTTAAGCGTATATTAGGAACTTCAACTTAAAACTTTTCAGAAAATATAAAAGAAGCTAAAAAACAAATGAAAAGTATAAATTAAAATCTAAAACTTATAACAAAATGAAATATGAACTATAAAAATACAAATGAAAGAGGTTGAACTTTAGCAACTAGTAAATTAAGACAATGCGATTTCAAAGTTGGTAGGAAATCAAACCGTGGCTAAACTTCAACAACTAACAAATCACATAATGAACCACGGAAAAAAATTCAACGTATTCAATTTTCTTACACAAAAAGAAATTAACTTTTAGTGTTGAGAGATGAAATTCCTAAAGTACCCCTAATTTAACGGATAAATAGATGGTGTTAGCGAAAATGACGGATGGTTCTTAAATTTTCCATGATTATCGAGGACTAAGAAACTAATATGAGAATTTACGGGACTAGAAACGAACTAGGTGTAAAGATATGATAATCATATAGTAAACCGTACATGGTTTTGCAATACCAGGCCGAATAGAAGTTTCCAAGTGTACGAATCATCGATCTTCTGACTTTGATTGCTTCCCAAGTAGTGACGTGGTCTTAAATTCGATATTAAATGGTATTAAATTCGATATTGTTTTATTAAGTCAAATCCCTAAGGTGTGGGTGGGTGGGTGATCTCTTTTTTTATTTCTTCTCTTTTAATTATTTCATTGTGTAATGCGTTTTCATTATTTGATTGGTCCACCTCACATGGTATTATATAATATAATAACATAGTTGGATTATTTTGTGTCCTCTCTTCTAGTAAGGGTGCCACGTGATTATATATGTACGGCAAGCTAATAAAATTGACCCGATAAAAAGACGATTGACAAAAAAGCGTAAACGTTTGTGCGTGCCTGTAAAAGAAAAAGGACACTCCTCGAGTCATTTTTATAAGAATTATGAGAATTCGTTTATTGTATTTGTTTATCGTATATTGTGCGGTTAGAAATTATTTAAATTTTATTATTTAAAATTAAATACAAACAGTATCTGGTAAAAACTAACCGTACGATATACGATGAACAAACACAATTTGCAAATCCCCGAGATTCACAAAGAGGATCCGGAGAGAATCCGGATTCCTTGTAAAAAACCATTTACACGGGATATGTTCACCGTCATTGTAATAAGTTGAGAAACTATGTAATGGTGAATTTGTTTTATGCATCGTTTACAATATTGGTATCAACAAAAATATCGATATGCAAAATCGTGGAATCATCGATAGATATATTGATACCAGTTGTTTTTTTTAAATGAAAATAATAAAATTTAAAATGACACTTTAGAGAATGTCGTTTGAATAAAATATAAGAGTTTCTCTGATATTTAATTAATGTGTCGAAAATATCGACAAAATCTGTTGATTTTAACTGAAATTTAAGAGTTTTTCCGAACGCCCATTCCATGTGTTTATTTGATTTCTTATATATTTTCATGGAAATATTGACCGTATAAAAAAAAAAATCTCAAACATTGATTTTATGTAAGTCTTATGTTGTAGAGTGGATCCGATGAAGTTTGTCACCCTCTCTTCAAAAGAGTGCAATTGGGTTAGAGGATTGAGGAGTGGGACACAACTAAATCCAAACAAAAAAGAAAATTGGATCAGACGACTCGCAAGGAAGCCAGAAGGAACATAGTATCATAAAATTTGAGTACTATTTCAATTTTCATCACACCAACCAATTGAAACTGGAATTTTTATAATTTTGCAGTTGACAACAACGAGCAGTTAGAATCATATAATATCAGAATTTAGAATTGATAATGATACACGTGTGCGAGATTTGGTCACCTATCAAAATTTTAGTGATCACGTGATTCGTTTTTGTACTACTTTTACTTATTATTTGACGCTTCAATCACTTGATTAGTTATTCAACAATTATCATGCATGATATTTGAATTCACGATTACTTTTTGCAACAAAGTTTGAGACAAAATCTGATTGGATTAACCGATCATAGAAGAGCATTTGTTAGTTGCATCGGTTTTTCTCGAATTTACATATATTTAATGTTAAAACATATTTAACTTAAGCTAATTGACAAAAATCTGTTGAATTAAATTCGACGATCATATATGCGTGCTGAAACTAAATGAATGTAGGCACTCAAGAAAAATTAAATTTGTATCACAAGAAATACAAAAATATTACTTTTATCATATATTTATACCATTTTTCAATAAAGATGTGATCCACATGTGTTTGTGGACCCTACCTCTATTAGAGAAGTGGTACAAATATGTAATAAATATAGCATTAATCCAAGAAATATCATACCCAAGAAAAAAAGGAAAAGTCTTGACGGCCGCCAAGAAATATATTCACGTGCGTAATTTTACACACAACACTGTCACGTAACGAGTACTACCCAAACATATATTTCCGGTTCTATGCACATTTATCCCAAAGCATGTAAAACGGCCGATCATTCAACGTTATTTTTTGTTCTCCTACTCATCTCAATCGAGGAAGGATGCACCAACATATCATACCACCACCTCATTTCTTACCCTTTTGAAAAAGGGTTGGCGTTATTAAAGTGGCAGAAAAAGCTCTTCCTCCTCTTCCTTAATTTTGAGGGTAACATTTGGGTCCATGCCCATCACCATCAGAATCTAAACAAATCAAAGCCAGTTAAGAGATGCTGATGCCGCAAGGCCAGCAACACATACGAAACGCTACGTGTCGGGATCTCATTGAGCGGGACAATGTGTGTGTTCCCCTAACATTGTTGTTGAGGAATAAAAATCGGGTGTGGAGCCCCCGAAATCTGCCCACTCAGCCCACCTCAATTGCCGATCGGTAGGACTATATCTATCCAGCTTTGGCCAGCCACTCGGGTGGCTGAGACTGAGAGAGAGCTCACAGTTATCTGCACACGGCGACAGCGGTGGCGGAGATAGAAGGGGTCCCAAACGATTCACGTGAACGACCTATATGCCAGGTCTACATGAACTAAACACATTCGAAATCTGTCGCTTCCCTATTTTTATAGAATATACTTGACTTGTTCTTCAATTATTCATTTGACATAGAACTCGTTTAGATGTGCTTTTAAGATGATTGAAAGCGTTTTTGGTAGAAATATTTTTAGAAACAATCCTTACTAAAAATATTAGTAAATCCTATAAAAACACTTAAAGTACTTATTGAAAGAAACAAAAAACCGATGCTTTATGTAAAAAAACATTTAAAACGCTTTTGAAACTCAAAACATTTTCTCTAAAAACGTTTTCAGTTATTTTAAAAGCACATACAATCGAGCTCATAGTTAGGATCAATATCTAGATAATCTCAATGTTAATCGTACATTTAAATAAGTAACGTATTTGGGACATGTTTGCCCTCACCGTAAAATTGAGAAAATTTTAGATTTTTTCATGCATTGAGACAGAACGTTTGATGTTCTATGCATGTCATCCACCTTTTATCAAGTCGCTCCATGGATGTTTCATGGTTTTTCAAAGTTCTTGGGCGCTTGTGCTTGTGTTTTTCGCATATTCTCAAGGAAAGAAATTGTTTGACGGATGCTTTTGCTAATTTTAGTGCAATAAATAGTTGTTTTACTTGATATCTAATTTTTCTGAGATGTTTAATAAAAAAGAAAACTAATAAAAAATGCTTGAAAACTTTGAGTTTTAATGATAAGGACAAAATAAAGGGTAAAGTGAATAGTATCATGATTGACTTTTTAGTGTAAAAATATAATTTTTCGTTAAAATGAATAAGCTTTTCGTTAAAACTCATTAGATAAAAAGAGATTGCGTTGGGCTTTCACTCTTCCGTTCAAGGTCACGGGGAGCAATTTGATGTTGAGGACGTGGACATTGACAGTGAATCGTGAGCAACAAAATTATGAAAACCCGATTTCAAATGACAAAAGCTAAAGAATTCTTAAGACCATCTCCAACAATGGGCTAAATGCCAAATTTCCCCCCAAATTTCCCCCCCAAACCATCTCCAACCCATGCTAAAACATTGGGCTAAATGCCAAATGTTAAAGTTGGGCCAAATTCCCCCCAAAATTCCCCCCCCGCGCGACTGGACTCGCTGGCCCAAAGGCCAGTCTCGGCCCGTTCACTCGCGTACGCGCCCCACGCGGTGCGCTTGCAAACGTTGCCCGACAGGGTGGGCCCCGCTGTCAGCGGGTTGTCGGCCACCCAGCTGAAGTCCAACGGCTATTTTTGCAATCCAACGGATGTGTTTCAAGGACCGTTGGTTGATCCAACGGTCCAAATTCAAATTTGATTTTTTAAAATATGTTATTTTAAAATACATTGAATCCAACGGCTGAGATCAAATATAATCAAATCTAACGGTAAAAAAAAAGATCTAACGGCCCAAATTTAAATCTAACGGTTAAAATAATTAAAAAAAAATATTTAACTCAAAATTCACCCAAAAACTCTATAAATACCTATGTATTTGTTCAAACAAATCCTCTCGGCGCCATACATGCTCAACCAAATCTTTACGGAGTGTGTCATGACATTGAGGAGCTTGAATTCTATTTAAACGTCTCATATACTCACTCAAGGTGACCCTATCCTGTCGGGTCTCATATGTGGTTGGAGCGAGATATTCAACATCTCTTGCAATAGCTCTTGCATGTGTTGGTTGGTCATCATCCACATCTTCGTCTGAATCTTCTTCAATTTCAATGTACTCATCTTCCACAATCATATTGTGCAAAATTATGCACGTCATCATGATTGAATGGAGGTCTTCGGACTGCCAAAATCGTGCAGGCCCTCTAACAATGGCCCATCGAGCTTGTAGAATCCCAAACGCTCTCTCCACATCCTTCCTGTAAGACTCTTGCCTCTGCGAATATAATTTCTTCTTTGCACTATCAGGATGAGAAAAACTTTTGACAAAAGTAGACCAACTAGGATAAATACCATCAGTTAGGTAGTAACCTAGCTCATACCTATTACCATTTACCTTGTACCGAAATTCTGGTGCCCATCCATTGACAACATTATCGAATAAAGGAGAAGACCAAAGAACGTTGATATCGTTGTTTGATCCAGGAGCACCGAAGAAAGCATGCCAAATCCATGTGTCGTAAGACGCCACAGCCTCGAGCACGATGGTTGGCTTGTCATGACGGCCCTTGAATTGGCCAGCCCAACCAGTAGGACAATTCTTCCACTCCCAATGCATACAATCGAGACTTCCTATCATGCCAGGGAAGCCTCTTTTTTCTGCCTTGCGTAGAAGCCTCTTCAAGTCTGCACGATTTGGGTTGCGGAGGTATGTGGCTCCATATATGCCTTCAATTGCCTTACAGAAGCGCTTCAGGTTCTCAATAGCAGTACTTTCTGCAAGGCGGCAATACTCGTCAGTTGAGTCTGCAGAGCATCCATTAGCTAGCATGCGAAAAGCAGATGTGAGCTTCTGATGAGGTGATAGACCTTGTCGGCCGGTGGCATCTACCCTCCGTTCAAAGTATTGGTCATGATTGACAACTGCATTCAAGATGCTTTCAAAAAGCTCTCTCCTCATCCGAAACCGCCTCCGAAAATCATGAGCATGAAATCTCGGACGCTCGATGAAATAATCTTTCATCATTCGATCATGACACTCTTCTCTATCACGCTGCACATATGAACGTCCCGTGACAGAACCACGATGGCTAGATTCGCCATTGTGCTCAGATTGCATAAACGAGTTGAATAGTTCAACTTCAGCATTGAACAATTCTGCATCCTCAATCTCCATCCTTGCTTGGTATTGTGCCATCTGCATTGCCATACTACGCCTTCTTCTATCACCCATTGATGAGATATTGAGGATTTTTAGGAAACAAAAACTCTTTGAAAGTTGAAAATGGGTGAATATAAAGGATGATTGAAGGTTGAAAGGTTGTGTGATCAACAAATATTGGACATATGTTTATATAGAGGATGATTTCTGAAAGTTTGGTGGTGAATGGTTGGTTGAAAGTTTGGTGTTTATATAGTTGGTGAAAGTTGAAAGTTTGGTGTTTATATAGTTGGTGAAAGTTGAAAGTGTGGTGTTCAACGGTTGGTGAATTGAAAATTTGGTGTTCAAAGTTTGGTGAATTGAAAGTTAGCCCAGGGTTGAAAGATTGGTAAAAGTTGACGGCTTGCTTTGTGGGAAATTTAGTGATTTTTCAATATTTATCGGAATTTAAATGTTTTTAGATTAAAATGTTCATAAAATTAATTTACGATAGTCTACATATTTATTTTTTTAAAAAAAATTAATTTAACAAAAAAAAATAGCATAAGTTCATTCTTTAATAATCCCGGGCTAAAATTTTAGGCCAGAACGGTTGGAGCAGAAAAGTTGTTTCTGGGCTAAAAGCTAAATTTTCCGGGCTAAAAAATTTGGCTTTTAGCCCAACCATTGGAGATGGTCTAAACCAGAACATATCAATTTCGTTAACTGTTTATGGTATGCTGGCCTGGTCCCCTCATTGTTTTACTTTTCCTTTTTCTTCATATTGTTAACAAACATATCAATTTCGTTTAACTGTTTATGGTATACTGGCCTGGTCCCCTCATTGTTTTACTTTTTCCCTTTTCATCGTATTATTAATAAAATCTAGTAGCGGAGGATTTTCTAGGTGGGACGGTCCTTCCTTTTTCAAAAGAGGGTTATTATCTTGCAACATTGATCAAGAGCTAATCTCGCATAATCTTACCTTACAAAATTTACATAAAAACAAGTTCATCACATTTGAAATTCAATAACAACACTTTAAGCAAACTCATTGATTTTGAGAAGCAACAAAACATCCAAAAGTAAAAGAAAAAAACAATTTAGTTCGTATAATAGCACATTTCTGCAACGTTCTGCAGTCAAAGCGGATATTGTAAAATAAAAAGAAAAACTAAAAATTAAGAGAGAAAAAAAATAAACCAAACGACTCAGAGAAAGAAATCTAAATTTTCTTTCCTTCAACTTGTAAATTAAAAGAAAATTACGAGCAGCCCACAACTAAAAATTAACAAATCGAAAGCTACTCTCTTGTAATTTCCCTTTCTCTGAGGCTAGATCGGTAATTATATCATCATCGCGTAACCAAACGACACCGGATTTAGGACCTCCCCGGTCTTCTCAAATCCACGACGACGACGCTGACGTTGTCGCTGCTCTGCCTAGCCAAGGCCAACTTCGTCAACAAAATGGATGCGTCCGAGCACGCCTTGTCGGAGCTCGCCGCCGCATCACAGCACAACCCCGACTGCAAAGCCGCCGTCTGCGCGCGCAGGCACATGCGCACGACGCCGCAGGCGGTGTCGTTGGATACCACGTCCCAAAGGCCGTCGCTGGCAAGGATGAGACACTCGTCCTCCGCCGTCCGATCCGTGACCGTCACATCCGGCTCCGATATCACGTACGGCTTCAGGTAGTTGTCGCCGATGGCCCTCGACATGGCAAGAACTCCGAGGACTCGCGCGCCGTCCCAGTAGATCACGCGCCCGCCCGCTGCTTCGATCCGAACGAGCTCGTCGGGTCGATCCGGCTGCACAAACACAATCAATGTAATCGCACGTTAGCTAACGTGTTGTGTACGCGCAATCAAAGTGCTAATTAGTTCACGCGCCAAAGCGACAGATTCGGTTCAATGAATTTGTAGTCTTGACTTTATCAGATCCAAAAAGTACCGATTATTTAATTTTAATCCACTATTTGTGTTTGTTTCTCGGGAAAAAAAGCGAGGGAGCTAAAGGCACACCTTATGATCGGAGGAAAGAGGAACCGCAGCGCCGCTTCGGCAAAGCACAGCGCGGGAATCGCCGCAATTGGAGACGACAATCTTCTCCGGGGTGACGATGGCCACAACCGCCGTAGAACCGACGGCGTCGCACTGCGGAGTCTGGAGTTCGCACCGGCAGTTCGAGCTCTGTGCCTTGAGGTTCCCTTCCTGGACCTCCTCGTCCATCTTCAAGAAGCTTCGCTCCATGGCGTCCTTCCACTGTACGGTCTCGCCTTCGGTTTCGAGCTCTTGCTTTACGATCTCGTGCAATCGGTCCTTACACTTCAAGGCCACCTGAAGAAGAAAATCGAATTAAGAACAAAATTAAATTCCGAACGAAAAACGAAAAATCGAAAGCGAAGCGGCTAAGTAAACAACGAAGATTAATTAGGCTAATTGAATAGGATTAGTGTGCTTACATGAGAACAGCCATGGCCGTCGAAAACGCCGTAGAAGTGAGTTCGGTTAGATTCCGGATTCTCCTTTTGCAAAAAAGACGGGTGAATCGAAACGGCGTCTTCCATGTCTCGTCTTCTCCCACACACCGAAGTCATACCGAACCGGGGACTGTCCTGGACCGGCGCCTGAACCGCTTTGTTTTCCACGCGAACAGACTCGGACACCTCATCACCACGTCTATCCTTTACACCAGCATCATCTTCCACAACACGCACCGTAGCACTAGGCTTCGACTCTTCGAGTCCCTCTTTCGAGCTCTCGGCTGCGTTTTGTGGTACGGACGATAAGGACCGGTACATATCGATCTTCTGCCGCTTCCGCCCGTTCTCCGCCGTCGGCTGGACGGCCAGTTCAGCTATGTACTTAAGCGGCAAGAGGTCCAATCTCCTCCGCCGCGAGGTCCTGGAGCTCGAGTCCATCGTCGTCGTCGTCGTCGTCGTCGCCGCCGACGCCTCGCTTTCTCCAACAACACCGCAGCACATTCCAGCCATCGCAAATCAAATCAATTAGACCAATACCAAAATCGATCAACAAACAACGCCAACAAAAAAATTTAACAAACTCTTCTCTTGCTCGTTAGAGGATGCTTGGAGTTCTCTGTATATAACGAAGAGAAAATGGATTTCAATACAACGGGTTTGGATGGAGCTTTTTCTAAACGAAGGAGGAGAGCGCCACCTCATCACCCGCAACAATTTCACCTGGGGGCCACCGCGCCTAATCGCGGGCAGCTTGCCCGTCACCATCTCGGGCAGGATCCGACACTGTCCAGTTGGTATGACGTCGAACTACTGAATAGAGCGCTCTCATCTCCGCCGTCCATCTCATCTCCACCATACCTCGATTTTGAACACGTGCTTCGTCCTTCTCGACACGTATACGTGGCCTCCTTTTGGGTTAACACGTTAGGTATAGGCGGTGTCCTGTCTTCGACACGCATGTGGTCCACGACCGACCCCTCTCTCTTTTTTAAAATATTTTTCTAAATTTTATTTTAATCGCTGCCTCCATATACCACCACGTGGCGTCATCGTGGATATACCAGATTGGTTTTCTTTCCCACATGCGAGTAACACCAATAGCTAAAGTTTTTTTGTTGTGGACTTTCCCAATTGGGAAGAGATTTTTGTATTCGATTTAATATATTAATTTCATACCACAAAAAAGATAATTCGGTGTTTGGGTGAAGAGGAAAAACACATTATTGTTATTGGATTTGAAATTTTTTTGCATGACTTGTTAAGCTGTTTAGACGTAGTTGTATTGTTTGTCTTCTATTTCATACTGAATGTTGATTTATCATTTTTCTCTAATAATATTTGACAGAAGTTGCTACTCAAAATTATTCGTTACTGCTTCATATAATTTTGTGTTTATGACTAAAACTGTTAATATTATAAGTCTTGCTATAAAGATTATCTCTGTAAAAAATAACTAAAACTTACTTCATTTAGTCATCAAACTGTACACAAACAAATGAACAAAATTAATAAAAGCATTTTGTTGTGGACTTTCCCAATTAGGAAGAGATTTTTGTATTCAATTTAATATATTAATTTCACACCACAAAAAATGATAATTCGATGTATGGGTGCAGAAGAAAAACACATTATTGTAACTAGATTTGGCAATTTTTTACAAGATTTGTTAAGCTATTTAGGCGTAGTTGTATTGTTTGGTTTCTATTTCATACTGAATGTTGATTTGTCATTTTTCTCTAATAATAATTGGCGTAGTTCTTATTCAAAATTGTTCGTTATTGCTTCATATAACTTTGTGTTTATGACTAAAACTGTTCATATTATAAGTCTCGCTATAAAGATCGTCTCTGTAAAAAATCAACTAAAACTAAATTCGTTTAGTCATGGAAGTGTACACAAACAAATGAATGAAATTAGTAAAAACATTACGAACCGTCTATGTATTAGCTACAATAATTGATTAAAAGAATGTAGTTTTAATTCTTTATTTTTTACAAAAATAATATTTAGAGCAAAATCTATAATATAAATTATTATAATTATAAACACAAAACTCGATAATTTAAACTTAAATAATTTTAAGAATGAGTTTCTACACTTTAGACCAACTCCAATGGTGGGCTAAAAACTAAATTACCCCCCAAAATTTCCCCTCCAAACCCACTCCAACCCAAGGGGAAAATTGGGGCTAAATGCTAAACCAGGGCCAAATTCCCTCCAAAATTTAGCCCAGAAATCAGAGTAGACTCCATCCAATATTTATAGGAATTTAAATTTTTTTAGATTAAAATGTTCATAAAATTAATTTACGATAATCTATATATTTATTTTTTAAAAAAAATTTTAATTTAACAAAAAAAATAACCTAAGTTTATTCTTTAATAATTCCGGGCTAAAATTTTAGGCTAGAACGGTTGAAGCAGAAAAGCTGTTTATGGGTTAAAAGCTAAATTTTTCGAGTTAAAATATTTGACTTTTAGTCCAACCATTAGAAATAGTCTTAGTAAAACATTATTTTGTTTTTCGGCCGTATAAAAAAGGCGAGGACAGCATAGTGGCCCAAACGTAATAACGTAGGAACAACCGGTGACTACCTGCCACGTAAGGGGTATGGGCTGTCAAGCAACGAGTTTCCGGTTCCCCACATGTCGTGACCCACAAGTTGGATGAATTGCCACGTCAATGGTTATAAAGGGTCAGTCACTGTCCTTGAGTGACTCAACCTCAACATCCTCCTCTGACCACGGTTCACTTGACCCATCTTGGTTACTGGTTAGGTCCAACACCAAGGGTCGTCTCCTCTCCTTTCCCTTTTTTCTTTTTCTTTTTTATTTCTTCGCTGCTCGTAATTACAAAATTTGGATATTGAAACTCAACGTTCTTATTTGATGTCACTTAGTTATCTGATTTAATGGAATTTATTTTCATTTATATATGAGAGGCCTAAAGTTCGATTATCGTAAAAAATAAATTAAATCTTATTATTATTATTATTATTATTATTTTATTGTGAGACTAAGTTTTCTGTATTTTTTTTTGAATAAATAATATTATCTACATTAAAGAGAAAGAGTGGGCTTAAACTTCATAATAAACTAGCAATAATATGGTTTAAATTTAAAGCTTTCATTTTGATTTGCATCTTTTGGTTTTGAGGGGCCTTACCAATCGAGGCCTAAGGTTCTAAAAAACTAAAAGCTCATAGTCAAATTGAAAGTTTAAATTTTAATTGAGAAAAAATATTAAATTTTAGTTCGAATGACTTTTAGACAATGAAAAACTCATCGTAGCAGTACCAATTTAATCATACTTTATCATTAAAATGACACAGTTAAATATTAAGTTCAACACAAATATTAAATGCTTTACATGAATCAAACCTAAAATTTTCACTTAAAAATAATAAGAATACTCTTAAATTCATTGTATAATGGACAGTTAGGTTGGAACTTGGAATGCCTTTTTATTTAGTAATTGGACCGAAAATCAACAATAATAACAACAAAAATTCCGTAAAAGAAAACCTTCTAGGTTATCAACATGCATCACGATGGCAACACGTATTCGAACTTCCTAATTCCCAACACCCACGACATTGCAGAAGGTGGGAGGAAGAGGAGAAGAGAAGACGTCGAAAACGCTTCGATGGTTTTGGAAGACGTGGAGGGTTGTTGCGTTGGTGCATCAACGTTGAACAGGTGATGTTGGTTGCCACGTACAAACCACAAGACACAGTTGCTCACATCAATCACGACGATTTTTTTAGTGTACTCGAAAAACGAAATAAAACGATACGTGTCATAATACAAATAGTGATATATTTGTTTTAAAAAATTAACAACTTGAAAATAAAAATCTCTCTATTTATATAATTGTATGTGTTGTACCACTTGTGTTCTGAGCATAATGTAAAGTTTGTCGTCGCTCTCTTGCTACAAGTTTTGCCTTGAAATGAAGGAACTTGGTTGGAAGAGGCGTTGTTTTGCTGGTAAGGTAGGTTCCTTTGGAGGTGGATTATCTGCTATTCCATTTCCATACTCTCCACATGCTCTCATATTTATGTGGTCACAGTTAAGTCACGTCAACAATTTATATTTTTATTATTTTTTGTTTTATTATTTTTATAAAAATTAATATAAAATATTAACGTGACTTAATCGTGATCACACATAAAAAGACATAAAAAAAGTATGAAAATGAGAGGACAAACAATCCACATCTGGTTCCTTTCACCAGAAAATATCTCACGTCTTCATCCATCTGTACACCTGTCTATGCAATAAAGAAAGTATTTTCGTTTTCCATGCGGCGCCGTTATTAATTCTATGCACTACTTTTTATGTCCAATTTTAATTCCACGTACGATTTTCACAATCGTTAGATTTTCAGATTACAAGGTATTTTTTATATAAAATATTTTAACTGTTAGATTTAATTTTTATATTTTAGAATAAATATTTAACTATTAATATCTTGTCAGATGAGAAGGTCCAAGTTTTCTATTCACCAAACTTCTAATAATGCTTTTATTTTCTCCGACAATGGACATATTTTGAAATCTCTAGAGCAATTCAATCCAATCCAATCCCATCACATTGCATTAAGCATTGGCATCATTGGTGAAAGATTATCACAAATACACTTCATTAAAATCATTCTATACTATTCACCAGTAACAAAATTAGACAAAAAAGAAGCGCCTAATGATCATTATAGAGCTTTAATAGCCACTCCTCGAAATTGCAACAATTTTATTCCAATGTTCCACAAGCATAGTAACTTTCTAAAATTCATATAATTGATATCACTTAGAAAGATAAGGGTTCGTTGCTAACAGTATGAGTGGTACAAATCCATTCATCCAAAAAATGTGCAAACATTGGGAAGCAAGAATGGTAAGAATGTGAGAGACAGAGGATCAAAATGGCCGGCTAGTAGGGTTGAAACTGTTTACAGTCATTCCTCCGTCCATAGAAATAATCTGACCGGTGATGTACGAAGCAGCCGGCAGGCAAAGGAATACTACCAGAGATGAGACTTCCTCAGGCTCTGCAATGCGCTCAAGAGGAGTTCGCGACGTTCTCTCTTCCAAAAACTCCTTGTTATCCAGCAACTGAAACCAGCTAGCAACTTTGTTAAATTATACGTACCCGACAACAGATCGATAAATAGAGAACAATGGTCAAATATAAATTTGAAAACTTCAACGGAAGCCAATTTTTGATACATTCCCATTGCACGGCAGATCCAATCTTACATAAACATAAAATGCACGGAATCAACGTCAATGTTAGGGGATTAAAGTATCTCTTTCTTCGGTTCCATGCAAGAAAATCGAATCCTGGATGTGTCTTAATTTGTATCTAATCTCAACCCATTAGCCGATTCTTATTGCACAATATCTAATAGTGCTACTATGATCACCTCATAGTCTTATTTTCCCACCCACTTATTTTCACCCACCAGAAAAAGTTTCAAAAAACCAAAACACTATATCCCAAACAATTTTAAGTTTTAAATAAAATAAATATAAAAAATGGATGAGTTTTGGAGATTTTACGAAAATGGAACAGCACGAAAGTCCTCGTCAACCCAATCGAATGCAACCCCAACCAAACATAAAATATGATGATGACAGCT